GAGTGATCTCATGATTTATTAACGAGTGCTGTGTAGATTGTTAAGGAAAACTGTTGGCTTAATTATTATTTGGAGTAACTACGAAAAAGCATGAAAAGTAGACAAAAGAATGGGAAGAAATCAAAAGGCCGTTTGTAAAATGAAAAAGAGTAAAATTGTATGATTGTTTTATTTGTAAATATTTGTGTAACTTATTTGGAAGTGTAGTTTTACATCGTTTTATTCGTTCCCGTTAATGAGAAAGTGAGTAATTATTTATTTTTATTCATTGTTATTGAAATGTTTTAAACATTCTCAAACATGCTTTCTTTAGCAATTTACACATGCGAAAGGAGTCAAGCTTCACCAAGTACCTTAAAGAAAGTTCGAATTAGGTGCCAATCGACTGCTAACAATTTTTCCGTGTCCCTCGGAACTGTAATCGATGTTCAAATATCCGTTGCCCTGTGGGGGGTCAATCAATGTTATTCATTTTTATAAATACGAAATGAACGATTTCGTATACGAGGAATGAAATTCCGTGCTCGCCGGCATAGAGAGGGATAATTAGGTGTGAAATTGAAGAATTAGGTGTGAAGAGTGAGCAGAAAAGAATGTCTGACATTGCGTGCGAATGCGTATGATTGTAGACACTAAATCCGAGAGAAAGAGTTAAAGAAAAACGTAAACGAGCGATCTTTCGTCGTACCGGTTCTATAAAAAAAAAAAGGTTTTTAATCGGAAGAAAAATGAATAGAAAAGCCTTGGTCGAATCAGTCGTTTCGACTTTTCATTGACGATCGCGGATCAGCCCGATCGAAAGAAAGTATGGCAACCGAGCCAAAATGCTACGGTGGAGTCCTTTTCCTCCGGGAACAGAAACGATTTCTTGTGTGATAAACCGCTTGATTCAAGGATCCCTTGATTACGTTTCCGCGTACATTTCCAATTCTTAAGATTTATTTAGTAGCGAGGGAGTCTGTATATACACCGCCTGCACTTTGTACGAATATTGCGAGCGTCGCTGTGCTCAGCGATCAGTTTTGTTTCCTTTCGTCGTTTAATAAAGTGAATTCTTCATGACCTCTTCAATTTTTTGTAGTGCTTGATAATAAATCACTTTTATCCCCGATTCTTCAGGTTTTTCAGGCCCTCTTATTTATGCAAAAATGTGTCCGAATTTTTTATGGAGGTAAAAAGAGATGAAAGTATTTCAAGATTGTATCCTTGCTTTCTGTATTAAATTTTGAACTGATTTGAATCTTATTCTCACGTTCTTCAAAACTACTTACAATATTCAGCTTTTATTGTATATTCCTTTATTTTATGATACAGCCTATTGAACAATTAAACCGAAGTTATACAATTATAGAATGTTCTACACTCTCTTAAATCTGAATAAAAACTAACTAAGCAGCAGAGGAATAGTATTACAATGACATTAAAATTAAGCAGTATCGTATAATCTGAACTCTACTGTATCTTAGCAACCAGGGTATAAAATAAATGTTTTTGGTCTCAAAATATGTACTCCGAATGATTTTACACATTGAACCTATAGTACAGATTTCCATAACTACCGTTAGAGTTCAATATTTTGAGGGTGTAAAAAAATGTTCAGGGGAAATTTCTGCATTCATTTCACAGCAAAACAAAAGCTATCTATTATTACTAATATAGAAAAAATTGAATATTTACTACAGCTACAGGTTATCCTTGTTGAGTTAGTCACAAAGAGAATACGTGTGTACGGATAAATGTATAAAATCTATTGATTTAGGAGATAAAAAAGTTTAAAAAAGTAGGAGACTCGCCAGCAACTATATCATGTGAAACAAATTATTTATTGCTGAAATTATAGAGAACAGATGATTCTTGTCAATTGTGATGTAAGATGCGATGTAAAATTCGACAAAAATCATTTGCTGTTGAAAATGTAGAAATAGTGCCATTATAGATAATATAATTTAACTTTCTGGCATAATCAAATAAATTTAAATAGAATTGAAGAGAATAACACAAAGGACGAAGACATAATAACACAAATCGATCGATCGGTTATTACATCAAATTCTTTTTGTAATTGAATTTATTATTACTTGCTTCTTAATATTTATAACAATTTCGTTTGTTAAAGATATGATTAAGCACTGCCGTGACTATTTTGCCATTTAATTGTTTAATGAAAATATTTAATAACGTCAAAAATACGATCTTTTATATTATTATGAATATATCAAAGAATTGTTACATCAAACATATTCTAATAATACATGATTTTGATTCTTTTCGTACTAATACCTCCTAGTACTCTTTTGTCTGCTTTATAATTTAATGTTTCAACAAAAATAGCTAACAGAACTCGAGGTATAAAAAAACTTTTGAAGCACAAATATTTCGAAAAATTATTCCAGTAAATCACCTTCGTTGCACACACATTTCGAATTTTGAAAAGCTCCTAGCTGTAGATTTAAAAGAGCCGTTTGAATATAAGCGCCGTATGGATCTATGGCTTCCAAATCATAAAACGTGTCGTAACGCAAATAAAGTATACAGAATACTCGATCCTCGCTAAGAAGCTTAAGGGACTAGACTCTGTAGCGAGGTGACACAGTTACCGACAAAATTATGGGTTTGCGCTCCCCAAGTTTTTGTCCTTATATGAGAATATTTTTCGATGGAAAATAAGTCATCCAAAAGTGGATGGTTAAAAATAGCGCGCCGTTCTCATGATTTAAGGATATTATGCAGATATTTAGTAACATAAGTATTAAAAAGCCAAAAATTGATAGCCAAGCATTTGTATGCAATTAGATGAGCATCCTGGATGAAAAAATATTCTCATATAAGGACAAAAACTTGGGGAGCGATTCAGTACAGTTTTGTGGTGTCAGAATTCACGATATCGATAATATAGATAAAAAAATGTGACAACTTTAGTTAGACTGGTGCTAACAAGGTGGCACCTAGGAGGAGTGTCGATGTGGAATCAGAGGAAGATGCAAACGTAGATTGCGGTTATGGATGCTATTAGCGGCAGTATGCGTCTGAAATGTCATTTCCCTATGCATTCAAATACTCCACTAGTTTCATGGGCAGAATGTTGGGGAAAAAGTATTTTTATTCGACGAGAATTTATCCGACGAATAGAGATACTTTTATACACAAAACTCATTTATTCGTAGCATCGAATAAAGTTTTAGCTTGGAATAAATCTTCGAATAACTTTTGCCACCCAGCGACTGGATAAAGATATACAATGTAAGCAGATGCGGAATCAAGTATTATTGACAATTTTTACTTTTATATTTTTAATACGAATAAATTATAAATATTATCTGGATGAAAATGAGTCCAAACACGACATCATTAGGATTATTTTTAATAATGTTACGAGATATTACAAGATATCCCCTCATCTCAGGAGGATAAGAGAGAGGAGTGGAAGAAGGTAGGGAGGAATGAAAGAGGGATGCAAAGAGGGGAAATCTATGGAAAAATAGAGTCACAATATAACAAATGGTACAGCAAGGTAAGACTAGGAAAGTACCAGTGTATTTGAAAAGAAAAGGGAAAGAAGTGAGATGGGTTAGGATAACAAGGTATAGAGGGTGAGGAAGATAGAAGATGCACGAAATGTGGAGGAGAAACAAAGACGTGGGAACACGTATCAAGAAAAGGTTAAGAATATATTAAGTGAGGATGGTAGAGGAGAGGAATGGATGGAGGACCTATAGATAAAGAAAAGGAAGGTGATGAGGGCAAAGGTGAGAGGAGAAAGGGGAAATTGATTGTGGAAGAACAGAGAAAATGGAGGGCAAATGAGGAAGGATAAGAGAAGAAGGAAGTATGAGAGCGAGAAAACAAACAACAGACACGGAGGCGAGCGCAATGAGAACAGAGGGTGAAGCGTTGCATGGGTGCGAATGAAAAGAGGCGGAGAAGAGAGGTATAGAAAAGGCTGCGAGAAGAGGGAAAAGAGAGAAAAAGAGAGGTAAAGATGAAATAGTAGGCACAAGAATTATATTTTCCATCTTTTAGGATTTTAGGCATTATTATGTATATTTGTATATACAATATGTATTATGAACATGGGTATAAATGTTAGTAATAAAGCAAAATGCTTTATTTGGTGAACTAAACGCCCTTGGTCAGCTCGACTATAGATTAATCGATTCCGATCAAATTTTCAGCACGCATATAAGTTACCGAGATCTATAAAAGGCATTTTTTTAATTTTTGTTATAGACTCAGATAAAAAAGTTAAAAGTTTTTGATTTTTTCTTTTAATTCCAAGTATTGGTAAAATTAAAAAAAAAGCTTTTTAGCCACTGTCTAGTATAAGCTAATCCATTTATTATCTAACAAAAATTCAAGTCATCTAGTTTAGATATAAAATAATTACTACGTTTTAAAAGGTGTACGAACACTCTTTTGTGGGCTACCGTATGCATGTATTTCTATTTGAATTGAATTCGTTTTTCATTCCTACTAGAATGTGGGGGTATAGAATAAATAAACTAATATTCCCACTCAACACTTATGATTTATTTAGATATTTGATATTTTTAAATTTAAATATTTTGATATAATAAATAAATTATTGCCATTTTATATATGCGTGATCACTCTAAGAAAATTTATTATAACATACACGATGACGAAAACTACATTAATATAATTCGTAAATTTAGTCGATATTTAAGAATTGTCGTTAAAATAGAAAACATTAATTATCTACACACAAGAAAACGTCGGTGGCTCCATCTCGTATTTATCAAGCAACTACACATCTTTAGACGGTAAAAATATACCATTATATGTAACGAAATCTGTACAGCAGATGCCGACCTGCTGAAACCGTAAAGTCACGTGACTACCCTAGCCCCTTAATATCGCGAATCCTTATTACTGACTCATCGCGTTGCAGCAGTTCGCTAGGAATTGCAGAGGTCGCTCTGTGTGCCTCGTAAACACGGACAACGGCCGCCATAGGGGGGCACCACCGGAAGAGTCGGGGTTCCGAAAGTTGCGACCGCACAGTTGTTCTTGAAAGAATGCAATACGCGGACGTATCGCGCTCGTACATACGAGGCTGAGCTGTCGTTCCGTAAGCGAATCTGCCTGTGCCGATAGATGTACGCGAACGATTCATAGTCTCGGCGTTAGTGACCGATAACGTGCGACGTCAAGAACCAACGAAGTTAGTATACGCTCGAGGATACAGGTGACAGCGACGTCAGTGGCGGCAAATGGTCCGTGGGCTTCGTGCAGGCATAGATTCGAGCCAAGTATCGCGGCAAGTCGACAAGAAAAGTGCGTCTACGTGAGTGAATAGAGTGCCCCAACCCTGATCTCAGCGCCCTTCCGAGCCGTTGACAGTAGCCACCCGTGATTGAACGGTCTCGCCGATGACGTGCCGTGAACCGGCCAACGAAACTACAAAAGTGTTGCATGTTGCCTGCTAGCCGCAGAGCCGAGCCTCTCCGCTGTGAGATAGCCGTCGAGGTGGGCTACACCGACGAGACTGTGGACGTCCCTAGATTGGCGGTAAATACACATTTATCTAGCATACAGTCTGCTGTCCTCTCTGCTCGCTCCGGTGAACCTTGCCTGTGTCCCTCTCGACGACCGCTATCTCGCGTCCCTATCGCATCCATGCAACTGTCTGGTCTGTGCACGTTTCGAGCGCGATCAACACCTCGAACGATACACTCTTGCCGCTCCTCCCGTCCCTTTTCTTTTCTCGTTCTCTGACCACCCGTAACTCCGACCTGCCCGTTCGCGTTCATTCGTTCGTCCGTTCGCCCTCTCACCGGTGGCACGTATTAATATTGATCTGAGGGCCGAGTTAACCCGGGAGGACACGATACCGCCTGCGCTTTTCTGACCCACGAAATTCGGACTTGGCTCCGCCCAACACCGATTTCCATCCTGTCCGCGAGAACCGTGTTTTCCTCGCGCACAGTTTTACGAAAGTGTGTAGGCCCGGGTTACGAAATTGATTCGTTGCTGCAGAAGTCCGCGGACACTCGACCGAGTGATTTACGGCCGTGCAATAAACGTCAAGTCGTGTTGGTCGGGTGGGATCCTCCCAGGCTTGGGCACTCGAGAGGATCTCGGTCTCTGTTGCCGCTGAAATCTGTGCGAAGGTTAAATTCGCCGGATCTCGATGATCGAGCCGGTGCGTGGCTTTCGGAATATGTACTCGCCTGCGGATAGAGTCCCGCTGCTGCTTACTACCGCTGTTGCAGCCACGGTGCATCACTCGTTTCGCCAAGGACCGATAATGAGTCCGCTGAAAGCGCGATAAGGGTACGCGCGCTGCTCGCGGATGTGCGCTTCGTGAATCGGCGAGATCAAAGATCCACTCTTGCAACGCGCGTCGCGGATATCGTGCAGCGACGCCGAGCATTGTCGTCGTGGAAACCGAGGCGGTTTTTCGTTTGCCGCTTGAAAACCGAGGCTCCGCGTTTCGCCGAATTACATAAGTCAATTAGTCTATTTTCAGATGGCAAAATTCTTAAACGTGCAGGTTACAGTCGGCCCGTCCGTCCGGTGGCTCAGCTCGATTACTTTAAACGCCTCTGCGGAAAGCGAATCCGCCTGAATTTCTAAGTTAAATCGCCGGACCAGCCTCGGAACCCTTCGCAGGGCAACCGTGTTACCGCGAATCCGCCATTTGTATTTTTTTTTTTTTGATATTTTTACGATGACCGCGATTCCAGAGAATGACAATTTTGGATCGATCTTTGTAGCGTTATTTCTGATACAGAAATTATTTAAGTTATTTTTGATACAGAACGGTACCTTTGTTTTTTTCTTTTAATGTTTATTTAACGTAGGAATATATCGAAGTTCGCTGAATAAGCGATAAGATTGACGCAAAGAAATTTGCTTGATGATGGAGGAGGATTTTGTGTATTGTTGTGGATAGTTTTTGAAGCATGACGTTGTAGAGGAGATTTGAAGGTCAAAGAAATTCTTTTTAGTGATTTATGAGGCGTAATTCGTTCATATAACACGTAAATTATAATTTGTTCACATAATTCGAGAGATATAATTTGATCACATAATTCGAGAGGTATAATTTGGTCACATAATTCATGAGCTGTAATTTATTCACGTGATCCGTGTTAAGTTAAGTTGTGTTTGTTTTAAAATTATTTTCTAAAATTTCAGCTATAATTTTTTGTTGAAAGTTATGATGATTTTAATTCTCATGCTTTCATGATATCAATATTTCGATACTCCAACGGTCTGTTACATTTCTAGTTACTTAAATGTTCTGCAAATGTTAAGCTGTACCTTTTGCACTGTTCAATTGATATTTTGAATATTTTGTGATTTCGTATGGTCATAATGTAAGGGCGACGTCGCCGTAAGGTTCTGACTCATGTTAGTACACATGATGCAACCACGAGGCTCAGTGATTTCATTGCAAAATCATTTGTCACTGCGAGGTATCAAATTCTTCCAGATTGTCTTTCTGAGAATTATTTCTAAATTCTCACAGATATAAAAAGATCACAGCTTTTTCGAAAACATTGTTCACAAGATCATAAATGATATAAGCAATTTCCGTTTCACTTTACAGACGAATAATTGACTTATAGTTACTAAATGTCTACTATCCCAGGCAGAAAATATTCGATCAAAATCGCGAATATCGTAGCTGAAAAAATTATTTAGGCATTTATTGAAAACGAAAAATAAACTCATATATTAGGCGAACATTTAAATAAACGTTAATAAGATACGACCGTTACGAACAAATTTAATTAGCACGGTAAAGCACTAGAATAATTTTTAATACCTTAAACAATACAGGTAAAGATTGAAATTTCTAAAAAAAATTTATTCGACGCTTGGAAATGATTAAACCTTTTCTAGAATCAATCTCAATTGCACATTAAATAAATATTAACGTATTCATTGTTCCACTAATATCTTTTTTACTCGAGTTTTATTAATTGCATTTATCTTTACTACCAATGAAAATATGTTTTATGTCGAAGTACATTCGCGTAAAATATGGGTAATGTATTTGTTGTAATTGAGAAAAGGGCGGAAATGGTGGACAGGTGAAAATTTGTAAACAGAATCGTAGGTTTATTGTGACAGTGTGTTTCAATAATTTGAGTAAAGAGAGATAGTTGCAAACTGCTGAAATAGAATTCGCAATTATTATATGTATTCGCGTTATTCTATGTGTACATATACACATACGTGTATATACATACACATACGTAAACACACGTCTGAGAGAATAGTAGAGGTGCGAGCGTAACAAATTTGTCGAATAATTTTGCCATGTAACTCCGTGGTTCGTTGCTGCCAGCCAAAATGTTTTCGCACGTGATCGTTGGTGCCAATGTGAGCATTTCGCTCGCAAGAGTAACTCCGTCTCCCTCGAAATATATGCTTACAATTTTAGGACACGCAGGAATCAAGTCTTGTTGGAACAAGAGACGGAAAATAAAGAAAATTGACCGCGATAGTAATTTACATACCGAACGAGATGGCTTCTGCTTCTTTTGAATACTCAATTTCTGGTCTCCTACTCAAATTTGATTGATTACAAATATGCTTTTGCCAAAAAAAAAATTACACTGTTAGGTAATTTCTTTATGTTGTACATTCTTTAGGTAATCATTATTTACGAAATGTAGTGTAGGGATCTTTAAAAATAAATAGTTTCTTTTAATACTTTATTTACGGGAATTATTAATAGACTTTTGAATCACCGAACTTCATGTAAAAGAAGCTGGATATTTTTTTTAGGCAACGATTTCGGAGGAAGTTGTTATAATATACGCGAATCCAAATAATTTATTGAATTACGGATAAAACTGCTGTCGCTTTTAAACTATTATTTAGAGAATTCTTAAATGTTCAATTTCGACTGTAATAAAAGGACAGAAAGCTATCGGTAGCGTTAATAACTTTGAGATATTGATACTATGTTATTCAATTCTTTGTGTCTTCGCAATTTTATATTTCATGTATTAATTTTTGCCACAAATGCGTAAAACCCGCAGTCTAATGAAAAGATATGCAATCTTTTGAGATACATCGACAAAAACATTGATCAAGATCGAATATTTTATTAATTATTTATTTAATGATATGTAAATTCGAGTAACAGAAGACTTTAATAATTGGAAAATAGTTTTATTATAATGAAGATGGTTGTTTTCTTTTACACTTATTTCTGATCACTGCTATAATGGATAATATGTTTACAATTAATAACATTCTAATGAAATATAGGAATAAGGTACTAAGGACCTGCCTTTTTATCGCTCCAAACGTATTATACACGCGTTGCTGTCTGTTGCGAAACCGTCTTATTTATTACTTCGGAGACTCCATTTTATGCCAAGTAGAACATCCTATTTTTTTAAATGAAGCAGAGTATACATATAATGAAGAACGTGTAAAAATAACAGCTTCCACATTGCTACGAACTTCTGCGATTAGCAAAAATGTGTCAATACGTTCGTGAAAAATTATGTAATAAAATCATTTGGGTAGATATTGTAATAAAATCGATACGATCAGTTTTGTTGTTTTAATTAAAAATAAAAATACGAATTAAAAAACAATGTACATTCAGTCAATAAGTTCGTATTACACTCTTCCACTTCACGAACATTTTAATTCCATATTCATCAAATTTTTGCGATTTCAATAAGAAATATTCTTCAAGAACTCTTTTACATCGTTAGTTTGGAATTTCTTTTTTGATTCTTAATTGAGAATTATCTTGATAAAAGAGAACACGTCCTTCGTTCACTTGCCGCAATTGTTTAAAATAAATTTCTGAATTAACACTCTAAAAAACAGACGGTAGTGTCTGATCGACAAAGAGGTTCTTGTAAGTGATATTCAACAGTAATACACGAGCTCCTTGTAGAAGGAATCAGAAACGAATTTGTAAGTACTTGAAGCGGATGGTTCGTGGCAACGCGATGGGATTAAAAAAGACAGTACGGTTACACGACGTGATCGTTAACATATGTCGTTCGTGATTCGTTACACCCCCACTATCGTCGCCTCCTCAAGTTTGCATAGACGATTGGCGTCGTTCGAATTCCGCGATTGCTTGTCAACCACGAAAATTAACAGCACGTCAATAATATGGCATGCACTGCACACTAATAGACACGGTCACGACTTACACGGATGAACAGCTTAAATTATTTGATCAATTGCTCAAACCGCAAAAACGACAATCTAATCAAAAAATAGATTTTTTATGTAAAATTGAAATATAAATTTTTATTATAAATCTGAATTATAATTCATTTTTGTAAAAGTTTAAATTTTAATAGATTTTTGATAGAAATTTAAATAGAAATTTGTGATTATAATAAATTTTTAATAGAAACTTAAGTTAATTGATTTTAGATAGGGATGAAATTGATTATTGTAGATTTTTTGTGCAAAACTTAAATGTAATGAATTTTTATTAGTTCGGATTATAATAGATTTTTAGTCGATTATAAATAATTATATTATAATTTTATCTATAATTATATTATAAT